TTTTTAAGATGACCGTATCAGAAATTTATATTATTTGTTAGAAATTTAGTTTCAAACATTAAGCTAAGTTTAGGCAGAAAATTAAAACCACATATATAGACAGGCTTCATAAGAAGTGTACAAAGGATATGGTGCTTTGTCTACTCTTACTTTTGTTATTAGCTTTAGACACCTTTGATAAAAGGTTTTGCTCAGTAATACTACAGTCTTGTTAAAAATTAGTCTTTAAACCTGGTACTTAACCCGAAGCATGAAATATTATGCAATATGTTGATCATGCTGCTTTTTAATTTCTCCTCCACTGAGGAATCATTGTTAAAGAACCACTGTATCCCATGAGAATCAGGAAATTAAACTTTATTGTCTTTTGACTTTCCCCATAAATGGATACAGCCATACACCATCTGACTACCATCTAAGGGGAAGCCCAGAATGAAAAAAAGCACTGCCAAAGTGCCACTGGGGCATTGATTAATCATCCAGTAAGATGAGAAGCTCTGTGTATAGGGCCATTAATGCATGCCTATGATGCCTTTCGAGGTATGAATGACCTGCAACTGTTATAGAACCAATCCTCCAACCATTCACTAGTGTTGGACTTGGAGTTGCCACCTCTGAGCTATGAAAAATCAGGGCATCTGAGAAGATCCTGTGCCCATAAAACTGGACAGCTGACAGTGTATAATAAGCACCCTTACAGATCTTCTCAGCACAGCTACCTCAAAAAGGGATAATCTTGCAAAAACCTGGACAGGTGGCAAGCCTAGCTGCACTGCTCACAGTAGCAGGCCCTGTGCTCTATGGCAGTTATGGTTTGTCAGTCTGGGCCCATAACACAGATCTTTATTTCTGATTTTTTTAAAATGAAAAAATTAAACAGTATTTACTTTCACCTAAGGAAATAGCAAGTTTGCACTTGTAAAAACTGCCTTGCATTTTTAGAGAATATTAAAGGGGACGATGAACATTTGCTATTTCTAGAAATATCATTGCTGGAGAAAAGCATTACAAGATATTACTTGCAATATGGAGCAGAAATAACTGGCATTGTTTAGAAGGATGCACAATACTACTTCAGTTCAGTGCTGCCAAACTTTTAGCGAGGGGTACCCCCAAAAGCTTTCCATCTCAGTTAGCAGTATGTCTCCCACAGGTAGAAAAGGAAGAGAGAGGGGCCTACATAGCAGGCTGGATTCACCTTACCCAACCTGTTTGCACCTCTCCCAAAGATGGTGTAATGACAAGTTGATTTCACCCTATGGGCTTAAGTGGAACCTAGAGATTTGGGGCTCTTTTGCATTGGAATGGAATTCTCCCCCAAACCAAAACATATTCTCTTGATATTTTCTCATTTGAAGTCTCACTGCTCAGCATACTCAAGAATTTTTAAATATAAACTAGAAATTTCACTTACAAATCTGTATTACTCAGATATAAGAAATTTAGAAAACATTGATCGGAGGAAAGATAGAGTTGACCACCTCTGCTGACTTGTCATAAATATTACACAGCTGCCTGAATGAATCATAAGCTGGGTATTTTTTTATGCTTCATCCACACCCACAATTGCCATGCATCCAAATTAAGGTCAGGCAGGATTACTACCCTGATGAATAGATTTCCCTTTAATTAGATGTTCTAGAGATAAAGCATTGGAACATCTCACTATTTTAATAGTTTGTAGGGAAGGTAGGAATAAAATAACAAATCTGGGAGGAGGTAACTGTATGGACTCCTTTCTTGCTCCACAGTAGAATGGTTTTCCACAGTTTGCCAGCTAGTGCTTCCTGGGCAATGCAGCAGACAGGGAGTGTCTGAACAACAAGAGAAAGTTCACAGGTAGCTCAGGTGTAAACACACAAATACTTTCTCTGAGGTTTCTACTTATTTTAGGAATTCTGACTTGACCAAACTAATACTAACTTGGTCCAAGGCCTGAGCTACACACATATCTTGCACTGGTATAACTGTGTCACTTAGGGATGTGAGAGAGAGATTTTAAAATAAAAAAATACCAGTACAAACCCTAGTGTGGACACAGCCATACCTGTGTAGAAGTGTCTTATACTGGGAATAAGCTATATTAATATTAACCACATTTATAACTGCATCCAGGCTAAATTCATCCAGAATGCAGGAGACCTCAGTTCAATTCCTCCCACAGCTTGATGAGAAGGGATTTGAACAGTGAGTTCCCTATTTATGGGGTTTGTGGATTGCAGTACCACCTAAAATTGGTTGTTAGATACCTAAATCCCTTTGCGGATCTGGTCTCAGAAGACCAAACATTCCAATAGATTGGGCTTCTCACCAGTCATTTAAAAATTACATATAGTTGCATATATTGTCTCATCTATAAACATATAAACATGTTCTTTAGAGTATCAGTGGGAGTTGGGAAATCACCTGTTTTACTCAGCCCAACTAAGACCATTTAAATTCCAGTTTGGATAGAGAACATGTTTCCTCCACTTTTTCCTCTGGCATCTATTACAATCCTGTTTGAGAACTTACTGACACACTAAACTACTTTTTTTTTTAAACAGTTTAAATCAAAATTTAAGCAAAGCAAAAATAAGTTAGAGAAACAAATTTGAAATCTTTTGATTGTTGGAGAAAAGCATATCAACCCAGAGACTCATTTCACTATATTCATTTGTAATAGTAAACCACAGATACACATTCTTTCTGTATTTGTAATGTTTTTCTTCCTTCTGGTGAAGGCCTGAGATTACCCCTCTTGGGTAACAGTGTGGGGTACTTCTCATATCATATAATTGGCATGTACATTGGCTTTGAATCAGTTTGGGGGTGAAATTTGTTGGCTAAAGCTTTGGAAAATCTGATTTTAGAGCTGTCAGACTGGTTCTATTCACTCTGAAACAAACAAACAAAATTATTCTTTTTTAATGACCCTATGTAACTTGGCCTTTTATCTGTTTTTTCCTATGGTTTAATGATATTTTGTATTTCAAAATGTTGTGCAGTACCTCAGTAGGGGGGCACTTTAGAAATAAAATCATTATTATATTATTATTTATTTCAACATGTGCTAAGGAAATTACTACATGCTTCTGGAAATCTTCCAATATATTTTTTGATGTGATGTGAGGAGATTGTCCATTGCATGTTGGCATCCATAGATCAAAAATAACTCTTGTTGCATCTTTCCAACTCAGTGAATTCAAGGTGGAAATAAATGTATTTAGTAGTCTAGTCAACCTTTCCTAGAAGTTTGTGCTTTAGTTGCCTGTTTTTCACTATTTTGCGTGGTGATGTGTTTGTTTACAGATTGTTCAAAGATGTGTACATTTTGGTTTTGGAACGATGATTTATGAGTTAAATATATGAGTTAAAATGCTCTGCAGAAGGAAAACATGTTGTTTTTGGAACTAATCTTACAATTCTTCCACACGTTGCAATCCATAGGAGGTCCTTGTGCAGAAGGCTTGTAGGATCAGCTTTTAGTTTATTTTGCTGGTGGTGGTGTTTAACCATAAGAAGAGTTCTTTCCAGACCCCATCCACGCTAAGCTCTATAAAAGCCTTCACACAGCTTACCATTCTAAACCTTTTCCTAAATTATGTGGTCCTTGTCCTACTGGCCACTGTTGGAAGACAGGATACTGGGCTAGATGGACCTTTGGTCTGACCCAGTAGGGTCATTCTTATGTACCACTATCAATGTTATATGTATTCACATACACACATTGTGACATCCCTTTCTGTCCATCTCCTTCTTTGTTATGCTTACACTTATTTTACACCATAATATAGACTTCAGTTGCTTTATTACATAGTTTCTCTCATGGGCCATATCCACCATAATTAAAACCTGGGCGGAGGTGTGTGTGTTGTGGGGAAAGTAAAGAAAGGAATCCCCCTTTCACACCCATGATACAACACAGCAAAGTTCATCTGCATGTCTGAAACTACAGTGCATAATCCTGACATGGTTCCTGTGTGGGGGTGGGTCCCAAGGATCCAGCTTCATTGTACCCACCAGACTGCCCAGCCCCCATCAGCTCCTGCACATTGTCTCCAGGGCCGTCCCTACCCATACGCAAAGTATGCAGCTGTGTAGGGCACCAGGAAATTTGGGGCATCACATTTCCTGGTGCCCTGCACAGCTGCATGCTGCTCCGGCCTCTGCTCTGCCTCTTCCCCCTGGCCTCCGCCCCAGCCCCGCCCCCACTCCCTGAGGACTGCTGCAGGGGTCAGGCCTGCACTCACCACGTGGTAAGTGGAGCGCCCTAGCCCCAGCCTGCTCCACTCCTCTGGCTCCCAGCCTTGGGAGTGCTGGGGGGGGGGAGGGGGAGAACCTCCCCCCAGCACTCACCGGCAGCAGGGCTGGGAGCCAGAGGAGTGGAGCAGGCTGTGGGCTGGGGCCAGAGGGTGGTTTCCATCCTGCCCCCATCCCCTCCCTACGGAGGCCTGGGGCCCCACACAGCCCCCCAGTGGGGGGGCTGCGTAGGGCACAAAAATGGCTGGGGACAGCCCTGATTGCCCCCTATGTTACTGGTTCCATTGCTGGAGGAGCTTCTGCAGCAGCAGAGACAGGGACCATGATTTGTGCCCAAAAGGCATAAATCAATTTCAAATTATACTATACAAGTATATTTACTGTGGCCCATATCCACAAAAGGACTTAGGCACCTAACTCCACTTTAGGCACCTACGTCCAAAATTTAGGCACCAGAGAACCTCAAAACCCCTGCTTGGCTGCTGCCTAACCCAGTAGGTGCCTAAAATCCCTCAGTGCCTAATTTTTTTCCCCTTGGTGCCTACATTTCTGCCTTACACTCTAGCCATCTGAGTGAATATCTCATGCCTAAGCCCCAGAGGATCCTCAAACCAGGTGAAGATAGGTGGAGGGAAGCCTATCTCGACCAATCTGGTAGGTGAGCTCAGAGCAACATTTAAGTCCCCTTGTGGTTCTGGGCCTGCCTCTCTTCTTCCAATATTGCTATTTTAAAAAATATAACTATACAAAGACAGCTATATTTTACCTCCCAATGTTGTGATTCATTACTTTATTGTGACTTATGTTTCATAGTAATTTTAGTTTCCAGCAAAACTGAAGAATTTTCAAACAGCAAGATAATTGCTAATTTCAATGAACCTGCCAACTGTAAATATTTGCAACATGTTCCGCAGTATCCATTTTACATAGATATTTATTCCATCGTGTGTTTGAGGGGTAAGAGTAGTTCAGACCCAGAGAAAGGATATTGATCAGTCTCAGTAGTTACTAAATAAGGAGTTCTGCAATTAACATGGTGGTTTGACTACATGTTTTTTTTCATTCTCAGGAATAGATGTATAAGTGTAGCACATTTTCAAGTGCTGTTTTGGATATCGTCTACAAAAAGGACGTCTGGTATCTTGATCACCTATGAATGATGTTTGATAAATGGTAAAACCATCATGACTGCTAGGAATGTACTCATGTGCCCATAGACAGAAGTTTTGTGAATTCTGTTGCCTTCTTTCTGGTTCAACCTTCTTTCGTCCTACGTTCTAGGAAAAAGATTGAAGGAAAAACTGATGAAAATGTACATTTCAGGATCACAGTTTCACTGTTAAAGTTTGGAATGTTAGGAAAGAAATCCTCTACTTTGTCATGGAGCAGTTAAAAATTAAAGAAGCACTTACCAAAGTGATTATGAGAACCACTACTGATCTGCTGCAAGCAGTTAGGTTATACATAATATTCTCAGACCTACCAATATATACCTTTCTGGTAGCATGATTAACTATGCTGGTGCACAGACAAAGGAAAACCAGAAACAGACATCTTGACTTTTGATCTATTATTATGAATAAAATAATAATTATTTACATTCCTATAGCACTTTATCTATTCAAAGTGCAGTACTAAATAAATGAATCCTCATAACAGCCCACTGAGTCAGGTAAATAACATTATTTCTGGCTTACAGATAAACATACAAAGTGTAAAACCAAGTTTTTCAAAAGTGTCCCTTACTTTTGTGTGCCAAACTTGAGACCAGAGAGTCTGATTCTTCTTATGTGATGAACCCACAACTCACACTGAACTCCCACTAGAGTTCCTTGTGATCAGCGTCTCTGAAAATTATCAGGCATTGATTATAGCACACTGGGCAAAAGAATTAAAGATTTTCAACATTAATGAATGCTTTTGGAAATCTGGGCCAAAGAGTTGCCGAAGCTCACAACTTCAGTAATTTCAGTAGCAGAGCAGGAATCAGAACACAGGAGTTTCTGACTCCCTACTCTGTACACTATCTAGTAGATCATGCTATCTCTTTTGTTGTCATAGAAACATATCAACATTCCAAAAAGGAAAAAAAAAATCAAAATTAAAATTATTACACATGCAAACATAAAAGAAAAAAGAGGAAACTTTAAAAATTCACTCAGAATGGTGGTTCCCTTAACACAGTGGTTCTCAACCATGGGTACGCAGAGGTCTTCCAGGGGGTACATTAACTCATCTAGATATTTGCTTAGTTTTACAGCAGGCTACATAAAAAGCACGAATGAAGTCAGTACAAACTACAATTTCATAGAAACAAAATGAGAAAGTAAGCCATTTTGCTGTGACACTTTGTATTGTTATGTCTGATTTTGTAAACAAGTAGCTTTTTAAGTGAGATGAAACTTGGGGTATGCAAGACAAATCAGACCCCTGAAAGGTCAGAACCACTGCCTTAAGATACCTTTAAACACATATCCTATAAGCTTCTCTAGTCTACTAAACTTCCAGGCAGAGCAGCTACATAGAGAGGCCCCTATAACTCTTGCTCACCACAGAGGTAAGCTCCATGTTAGCTCCAAATAAGCTGGGAGAAATGGGGTTGTGCCAGAGGGGCACATGATCTATGCTTGTGCAGATCTAGAGTCTGGAATAGCAAAGCAGCCTTTATTACAGCCCCACAGACTGTAACAAGGTATGCTACTATCAAAGCAGAGTACATTAAAACACAATATGGAACTTTTAGTGCATGGTAGCAGGGTCCACATGGACAGTTAGTGCATAGCAGGCTAGTGCGCTGTAGATTTACACCCTAGCTTGCCATGCACTAACTGTTCGTATAGACATGTCCAGAGAGGCTGTGCTGCAGTCCTGAAGCTTGTTCACAGGTTGTTTCTTACAATCCCTACTTAATTGCCTACAAAAAGACCATTTATTCTAACTTTTTGTGAGAAGAGATGAATTTCACCAACACAGCAGTGTGAGAATACTTCCAAAACTCTTGCTTCCAAAACAGAATGCCAGATTTGCATTTGCACACCAAGCAATCACTGTGTCCAGATTAAAAATCAGTATAAAAACACTTTTGCAAGTGGTTAACTCATAAACCTGTAGACTAAGAGAAAGTGACATGATTTGGGCTGCTATGCTCCACAAGAAGTCAATTATGTATGTATCACTCCGGCCAGATACATGTTATTCCGGGTATCTGTAAATGTCATATTATATTGTTATGAGGATTCAGAAGACATACCCATATGTCATTACACATAAGAAGTTATGTCCCAACAATCTGTGCATGTTATCATTGGTGTTTACTGTGCATTTTCTGTCTTCACCTTTTTGAGCATCCATGAATTTTGCAAGAATATTGTGTTTAATCTCTGGCAGGTTGAGAGATATGAACTTGCTGATTTTCTCAGTGCTGGATACTCACAAAATCAAAGTACTCTCCCACATTCTGTAAACAATTCCTGTTGTCATGGGTTGAAAATGGAAAGTGATTTTTTACAGCTTTCTGAAAAAGAGATAAAGAAAAGATAAGTTATAATATACCTTATGCCATGTGTGTGTGCTATAATCTTAGTTCGCATTTTCTGACAGATGCAAAAATTATGTTTTTATTAACAGAGGCATTATCTGTTAAATCTTCTTCCACATGGCTTTATTCCTGCAAAACTGGCTCTCTGTATTTTTCTCCAAAATATCAGAATTTAATATTCTGAACATGCACACGATTAATTGCAAACTTCCAAATCAGAGAAACCATATTCTCTATAGAAGCATCAAGATATTACAGAAATGTAAAAACTTTTTTGTGTGGCTCATTAGTGAGCCCACAATAAATGAAAGTTGAACTACACAAGGGAACTCAAAACTGAGTTAATCTGAGATTTATGTGTTGAATGTCATCCAGTAACCAGGCTCTGGGAGCCCATTAAACACAGAATTAGTTTTTAAACTCACTTTTTGCGCATACTTTTTATCCATTTTGTAAACCACTACAAAAAAAAAACCCGACTAAAAAAGCATCTGAAAATGCATGAACAGAATTGTAGGAAAGTAATAAATTTAATAATTTACAAATTAATTGTGCATTATATAAAGTTTCAGTCCTATGTGTATAAAATGGTTAAAATATGAAATTCCAAAAACTATTCTGGACTACTAGAGTTGTCCTTTTTGTTTCCCTAAGCACCATCTTTCGGTTTTGTGTTGGTAACTTTCTGTTCATTTTTACAACTTCTCTAATGATTTTACACTTAATACGGAGGCAGGAATATTCCAGTTTATAACTGTAGATCTTCATCTCCAGAGGGCGTATCTAGTTTTACTGTGCTATAATACAAAAGCTATTTGAAATAAATTGTGGTTTGTAACAGAAAATATAAATCAATTATAAAGAAAAATATAATTATGGTCCCAATCTTGAAGAACAGGCAGATGCCAGAGTCTACCTGCATGGAATCAGCTGCAGGATCAGAGCCTAGATTATAACTGAAGATCTCCATTTGGTACACTTTATAGATCTTGGTTTGGTCTTGTGCTGTGTGCCTCATGACCATATAATCTCTTATATAAATTCAACTAGTCTGTAGCCACACATGCTTTTTGCTTAATTATAGATCTGTAGTACTTTTCAAGGGTCCAATTCTATAGCTACTCCATGCATAGAACTCCTAGTGAAGTCAATGGGATTTTCATAAACAGATCAGCTACACCATGAATATCCCTCTAAGCCCCAATTTTGCAAATAGTTATGCACCGGAGTTGTGTTATGCCTGTGAGTACTCCCACTGAGTTCAGTGGGACTACTCACGTGTACTTGCTTACAGGATCAGGGCCCTAGGTAATGTCTCCTGGATGGATAAAATGCACAGAGCTACCACTGAAACACATCAGTGTGGTTAAGACCCAGTCATTTACACCTTTACAAAGGAATAGTGAGTTTATTTATAGTTTTTATATGGTGTGGGAAAATTGAAAAACAAAAGATACATATATATTGAATAATGTCTCTGGGAACTATTTAACAAATTAACTACAGCAAAAAAAGCTATAGTAAAAATAGTTTTAAGATTACAGCAAAGTAAGAACAATGAATAATATAATCTAAGTACGAACTGTATTCCTGCCTCTGAAAAAAGTAATTAACCTCACAGCCAGGAAGTTCCTTTACACAGAGAGATTAGAGACAGTCAGCTCTGGCACACAGTGACCTTCCAACTCCTTTCAAACTGAAACAGTTTTCATCTGCAGGGTTTTTTTTAAAAGTCAAAGCAACACAAACTTTCTCAAACTGTGTTTTTATGACTTCACATTCCAGTCTCTTTAATATATCTTTCTACTGACATTGTTCTAATCCATCATAAATGGATGAAAGGGCCATCATTAATTCTTCGGGACAGTGAAAACAGCTACACAAAATAAATGGATGTCACAACAACATATGAAAAGTCATATGAGTATGGACCAATGGCCCAGCTATCCTGGTATTCTTTCTCCAACAGTAGCCAATGCCAGATGCTCCAGAGAAAGGTATAAAATCCCCATAATGCACTGTAACCTTCTATTCCTCTCCTCACTATTCCCAAACTCCCCTCCTAACTACTCCCTTTTAGTCAAATTCTGCTCTTAATACACTGAGGTCAGTGAAGTTACTCTGGTTTTAAACAAGTATAAATGAAGTAGAATTTGGCCTCTGGTCTCATGTAATATGAAGATGCCACCTCCTCAGGGAGGACAAGAGAAATCATCAAGAAAACTACAGAGTTGTTCAGTGGAGGGGAAGGAATTTTGCCCTACGGAGAGCCAGAGACAAACTGATGACAAACTGCAACAAAGGATGCAGTTGGTTGTCTCTCTCAGATTAAATATGCCAGCTTCCAAAAAAGCATACTGGATAAACCCAAACAGTGGTGTTCAATGAAACCAAGACATTCAACGCTTTAGGAAAGTGGGCTAAGTTCCCTACTTTCTGAGGGACAGGGATCTGAGTATAAGACAGCCTGCCTTCTAGAACTGGAGCCCAGTGTGCTATGTATGCTGCAGATTCTGAAACTTTACACTAAGTAGAACATTAGTCTAGTTGAGGAGTAAAGTTATCCAAAACTGGCACTATGTGAGCTAATTATGGCTTTCTTTTGCTTTAGTATGATATCTTGTTAAAATGATAACATTCACCAGATAGGTTTCAGAGGAACAGCCGTGTTAGTCTGTATTTGCAAAAAGAAAAGGAGTACTTGTGGCACCTTAGAGACTAACCAATTTATTTGAGCATGAGCTTTCGTGAGCTACAGCTCACTTCATCAGATGTATACCGTGGAAACTGCAGCAGACTTTATATACACACAGAGAATATGAAACAATACCTCCTCCCACCCCACTGTCCTGCTGGTAATAGCTTATCTAAAGTGATCAACAGGTGGGCCATTTCCAGCACAAATCCAGGTTTTCTCACCCTCCACCCCCCCACACAAATTCACTCTCCTGCTGGTGCTAGCCCATCCAAAGTGACAACTCTTTACATAATCAAGTCGGGCTATTTCCTGCATAGATCCAGGTTTTCTCACATCCCCCCCACCCCCATACGCCACAAGGGGATGTGAGAAAACCTGGATCTATGCAGGAAATAGCCCGACTTGATTATGTAAAGAGTTGTCACTTTGGATGGGCTAGCACCAGCAGGAGAGTGAATTTGTGTGGGGGGGTGGAGGGTGAGAAAACCTGGATTTGTGCTGGAAATGGCCCACCTGTTGATCACTTTAGATAAGCTATTACCAGCAGGACAGTGGGGTGGGAGGAGGTATTGTTTCATATTCTCTGTGTGTATATAAAGTCTGCTGCAGTTTCCACGGTATACATCTGATGAAGTGAGCTGTAGCTCACGAAAGCTCATGCTCAAATAAATTGGTTAGTCTCTAAGGTGCCACAAGTACTCCTTTTCTATTCACCAGATATTAAGAGCAATCTATAAATAATTAATATGAACACAACTACCATTAATTCTGCCTTTATGGACTCAGAAATCAGGACATTCTAAAAATTAAGATTGTTGACACAAAGTAAATGTGGCCCCGAAGCACATTCTATATATTTTATGGTATGTACTAAGAGTTGCCCTTACAAAAAGCATAAACAGAAAATACTCTACATGAGCAATGTCGCACAATTAATGTTGTGGGTACAACTTTAACTTTGAAATTTCCTGCATTTGGAGTGCATTCAGGTTCCACTGGTCTTTTAAAAGAAGGGAAAAAAGCAAGGGTCTGCATGCATGGATTCAATTGTAGGATCATGTGCATGCATGAAACTGTCACCTTTAAATGTTCATAACTTGAAAAACATTGCACTGATTATTTTGAAACTTGGTTTGATTTCTTACTCTCAGTGAAGTATTTAAAAAAAATAAGTCAAGTTTGAAATTTCTGGCTTTAAGTGTTTCAGTTAGCAAAACAAACTTCCTCAAGGGAATACATATTTCCCACACAATTCAAAATTGCTTACCAGATTTCAATCAAACCTTCATCCATACATATTTTATCCACATTTGTTGGACTGAGACCAATTATAGTACATTTCAGCACGTAAAGAATTTGTTTCAGAAAGTTATCATCACTAACAAAAATAGCAATAATTTGAACAACAGTATATCTTGGGATAAATTTTTCCTTATCACAAATGACAAACAACTTATTCCCTTAAGCATGAAGACTGAAAGCCATTACACTTTTTATGTTAGTTCTTATTCAGATAATTTAGTAAGCATTTACTCAATAACATCCAGCAGCAAGGAGTTCCATAAGTCAATTATATATCCACAATAACTAACCTGCTCCCGAATTTTGTATACTAGTGGCAATCTCTTCTCAATATACTGAACCTCTTCTGGATTTTGTACCTGTTTTAGCATATAGTCTGTGATCGATTCGGGTTGACTATGGAATAATCCAAGGTGCGGGAACTAGAAAATATAAATGTTTTGATCCAGAAAACAAACACATCAGCATCAGAGAAGCAGTTATTTTTATTATTTTTATTTTCATTTATTTTTATTATTTGTATTAAGTAGCACTTGGGGCCCCAGTCAGGATCGGGATCCCACTGTGCTACCACCATACAAAACACAGAAGAGAGCATAATCCTTGCCTTGAGGAGCTTCTGATGTAGATACATAAAATAGATGAAGGAAGGAGAAAGGGATGTAACATACAAAGAGCATATTTAGAATGATGGGTTGCAAACATCCTGTTAGTTCTGCAGGGGTTTTTCTGAAAGTCGATTATGTAGTGGTAGTTAATGTTGCAGGAGCATCCTTTACACAGCCACAGCTGCAAGGTTGTTATCTTTACTATTACTGCTGCTCTTGCTGCTATATGGAAAGATACTGGACATGATGGCACTAAGCACCTTGCAGGAGATACTAGCACATTATAGGTTCAGGATCTTAGAACCTGCATGAGGAAGCAAAGCACTCGTGGAAAGTGTGTGTACATACATTCACAGTGCTGAGGAGCCTAGACCTCAGCAACAGTGAGATCAAGCTGCTGCTGCTGCTCCTCTTGTGTAACCTATAATTGAGACAAGTACAAGGTAGAATTCTCCTGGAGGAGAAATAGAAAATTACCTATAAGTAAAAAGAAAGATGAGGATTCAAGGCAGCTTAGAAACATGGAAAAAAATCTGTTGAAAATGTGCTCTGAATGTAGAGATTTTTTGTGAAAGTCTAAGAAAGTTGCAAAGGAAAAATGGATCTAGGTTTATAAAGTGATGTTTAGTATGTCTTTACAGATTGATTTCTAAACCCATATGGAACAGCACACCAGAGGGTGATGAGATTGTGATATTAAAAGTTATTCAATCAATTTCAATAACTGTAAAATTAATCTCACTTCTTTCTATGTTGCTGTCCTATTCATAAAAATGTTGCAAAAAGCTTCCAGTGGGAAAGGGGAAGCACTTTTAAAAAATGTTTCATGTGGATTTAACATCAACAGCTCCAGCATGTAACTTGATAATACCCTTGTCACCACAAACTAATTACAAATAGAAATTAATAATAATCATAGAATATCAGGGTTGGAAGGGACCTCAGGAAGTCATCTAGTCCAACCCCCTGCTCAAAGCAGGACCAATCCTCAATTTTTGGCCCAGATCCCTAAATGGCCCCCTCACAAATTGAACACTCAACCCTGGGTTTAGCAGGCTAATGCTCAAACCACTGAGCTATCCCTCCTTTCCAAATCACTTCACTTTGGGGCAACTTTTTGAAAATGTAAACTAATTAATCCACATGCTGTGATGTAAGGAAATAATCATGATTATCTCCATTCAGAGAAGTGGAAAGAGAGAGATTAAAGGTGCTCTATAAAGAAAACACTGGTGTTGTGTTTCTTTCTGTTTCTTTATCACCTATAAAAAAGATCTGAGCACACCAGAAATATCAGTAATGTCAAGACTTCCCAGACTCTTCCTTTTTTGGTTGAAAAATGTGTTTGACTCTGAAATGTATACTGTTAGCTGTCTTGGTCCTTAGTAGGAGTAGAGGAATTGAATCCTCCAATATCTTTTTCATTGAAAAGTTTCAGTTAAACAAGTATTAACAAAAACAAAGTTAGAGATAGGGCACAATTTTAGTCAAACTAACTCAAGTAACTAGGTTTCCTTTTCTTGGTATTGGTAATGTCAATATCTCAGACCACAGAGTAGGTTTGGTTGAAAAATTCTCAACAAAACTGTTTTTTAAATGGAATAAAATAAAACATTTTGCATTCTTTCCAAAGAAGATTTTGTTTTATCATTCAAATATTTTGGCCAAAACCTTTTGGTTAGTGAGTTTTCTGCTGAAAACTGGAAAATTCAAGGGGATCTGTCAATGAAAACGAAAGGCTTGTTTTTGTTTGCTTCCATCAAAAATTGTCAGGGGGTGGACAGGACGGGACATAGTCGGACCAGTTTTAACAGATGCCTGCCAGGGTAGACAAGGCCTGGATGGATTTCTATAAAGGACAAAGACAAAAGCAGCCTCACGGGCCTTCTTCCCCTGTCCCAGGGAGAACGCAGCCTCACCGCCACGCTTCCACTTTGCGGGGCCCGGTTAAGAAACGTGCCCACGGCCGCCGAGCTGCTCAGGGGCAGGGAGGCCGGTGGGGCTCAGGGCCGTGAGCCAGCCGGATGCTGGCCCGCGCTCTTTAAAGCCAGCCCGCTGGCTGACCGGGGCCAAACCCTCCCGCCCGCTGACGGGGCGCTTTGCCAGCCCCGGGGCTGCTGCGAGCCTGGAACAACCGGGGCGGTTGCTCGCCCGCTTCCCAGCGATGAGCTGCCCCCGCCGGGACCAGCGCGTGCCGCTGCTGGTGCCACGGCACCGGGCTGGGCTCTGCGCCCGCTCCCCACGGGCGGTTATTCCTGCCCGGAGCGAAGGGGGCTGGTTCGGGTCCTGCTTGGCCGGGGACAGACGCCGGGTCGCCCCCGCCCCCGCGCCCCCCCCCGCCGGTCTCTCACCCAAGCGCCGTCCCGCGCAGTGCTGGGATTGGCCAACCTGCCTTTGGGCATCGCTGGGCCCGGGCTGCCGCCGCTCCCTGCAGTGCTGCGCCGCCAGCCTGCGGCCTCAGCCGCCGGACAGTGGTTGCCATAGACACCGGGCCGCGCCGCGACCCCTGGAGCTCCGGGGGCCCGCAGTTCCTCCGCCAGCGGAACGCCCCCCGCGGGCTGAGCGAGACCCCCCATGTTAAAGGCTGGGGAGGCCCTGCTACGGGGGAAGGAAAACGCCCTGGATTAGGGGGACCCCACGCCTTAAAAGGGACGGAGGAGATCCCCAGCGGATGAGAGAGGTTCCCATTTAAGGGGATTGAGGAAGCCCTGCATCAGGGGATGGGGGCGACTCTCACTTATAGACCATAAGTTATGGTTGGGGAGACCTCAGGGAGGAGGTGGAGATTCTTGTGGGTGCAGGAGACCCCCCTCCCTCATTCTGGCACAGGGAGAGAGACCCCTTTTATGGTTGGTGAGACCTTGCTATTCATCACGTGTTGGACCCCTTATTCTGAGGGGGGGTACCTGTGGGGGTGAAGACTCCATCTTCTGGGGGTAGGAGAGACCCCCCCCCATTGTGTGGATGCCTTCCCCAAAGTGAAGGATCAGGGAGAATGGTGGGGCTTATCCCCATACAAGGAGGTTCCTCTGCTTCAGCTACAGATACATTTGTTCTAAACTCCTCTCCTTTGGGAAAGGAAAGGTCCTATACCTTATTTAAAGGAAGCTATTTTAAAATTCAGGAATCAGCTAAGAAAACATCAGTAGGGTCATTTTCCTTTGTCCTTCTATGTACTTTGTGATATGAGTCTGTGCAACACTTTAAGTGGTTCAGGCTGTACACCAAGAAGCTTCGTGTAACATCAACCAAGTTATATTATGAATCTCCTGCATGCTCATTTATGTAAATCAAGCTGTCATGGGGTTCTGATATTTCAGTGAGGTCCAGGTCAACACACAAGTGAAGACAAAACCATTTTTGCCTGTGTTCCAACGCAGCTGCACAAAAATGAGATAAAAAAACAAAATCTTGGACAGTCTCTTGAAAAAGGCAATAGAGACTCTGAAACATGTTTAATTTGTTTAGAACCAATAAAGTATTTTAAAACAAGCATTTCAATAACATTTTACAATCTGGATGATAATATCTGTAGAAAAAAGAAAGAATTCTAACCATAAAAACAAGGACACTTGAAAGCAGTATGGCTGTCACAATGTTAGGATACCATGTTAGTCATCCTGTGGAACTCCTTGCCTGAGGAGGTTGTGAGGGCTAGGACTATAACAGACTTTAAAAGAGAACTGGATAAATTCATGGCGGTTAAGTCTATTAATGGCTATTAGCCCGGATGGGTAAGGAATGGTGTCCCTAGCCTCTGTTTGTCAGAGGGTGGAGATGGATGGCAGGAGAGAGATCACTTTACCATTACCTGTTAAGGTTCACTCCCTCTGGGGCACCTGGCATTGGCCAGTGTCAGTAGACAGGATACTGGGCTGGATGGACCTTTGGTCTGACCCAGTATGGCCATTCTAATGACTGAAACAGAAACAATACAAAAATTCCAATCAGATAAAATATTACTTGATTTAGAAAAAATATAGCTATAACAGTGATTAATGTTAAAAAGTCAACATCTAGTTTTTTTATAAGTAAAAATTATTTATAAGCAGAACATTAGCAGTGGAAATAAGCTCTCTCTCCCTGCCTTTTTTTTCTTGCTATTTTTTCCCCCTATGAGAGTGTTTGTGCACTCAGCTGTGGCTACTTCCACAATTAAACTTTGTTATACTAATTGTTGCCATAGGATAGTGCTGTGTATAAAACAGGTGCTGTTTTCTCACCAATGTATTGTCTGTGAGATAAATTTCTGTGTACTTATATTGAATTGTTTTAGACTTACACACATCTTAATTGAATACATTGTATACAGTGTTCATTTTAAAAAATCTCAGTTTCTTAGATGTGCAAAAAAAATGGAAAACCAGTTTATAATGCAGATGAATAAGCAAGGCTACTTGCTGGAAAAAAAAGCAAGAGATTAAGGAAGTGTAAAAGATGACCTACCAAATTTCAATATTAACAGAAGTGAAGGAAAATATTACATACTACAGCCCCAATTCTGCAAGAATTTATGCACATGCTTAACTTAATGCACTGTGAGTAGTCTGATAAAGTTCAGTGGGACAACTCCAGCATCACCAAATCCAAGTGTTCAAAAATCATGAGTAAGGTCCACAAAAAAATCATGGTATTGACTTAAAATAAATCACAAGATTTAAAAAAATAATAAATTTAAGGGCCTTGTATTTATTTACCTTCTAGCTTTGAGCCTGTAAAGTTAACATTTTCAAGCTTTTCTCTGTAACTATGAGGGCTAGAAACTTATTTTTTTAAATAAATAAATAAAATAAAAGCTGAGAGTTTCAAAAAATAACAGGACTCCAAGAGCTGGTATTTTAAGAAAGACATCAAATATCACAAATCTTGTGATTAAAATAGTGAGATTATGTCATTGTGCATAGTCAAGCATGTGCATACATTTTTGCAAGATCAGGACCTAAATAAATACTCAGCACCCAGTAAGGATGTTTTCATCATACTCAACATCTTACCAGTTCAAGTGAATAGGAAGGAAGTAAACAATATTTTGAACCACCACTGCTTTTAGAACAATTTTAGGGAAAGTTTTCAAGTTAGATTATAAATGTCCATATGAACAATGGCATAATTAAGTTATGAACTTAACAATTAAGTTAAGTGCAGGTGAGCAGATAAACAGAGATCCACACTGTGAAAATTAACATTAATAGGATTTTAGTGATTTTGAGATAACTATTATTATAACCATGAGTCAAATGGGGAGATGCAGCTTTATCTTATTTAGATGACATCACATCTTTGATCTGAAAATTTTCTTTGACTGTTCTCCAACAACACTTGTTTATGTATGTGAAGATTTATTTACTGTATAACCATCTGTTTAAAAGATTTATCTAAACATTCTCCCATTTATTTGTAACTTTTAAGAATACTTTATGCACCACAAATTTAAACCTTCCCCAATCTACTTTCCTATTTTCTTTTTCATTAGTGCAAATTTATTTAAAATAGATCTGCAATGTACAAACACATCTTGTTTTCCACCATTGATTTTGACAGAATGAAATTTTTATTGTGCTCTTCATAAAACTTAATTTATGTGATACATAGTTTTAAAGTTATAGTCAAAATACAATATCCTTTCATTACTGTATGACATTTGTTCCTTAGTTAACATATTAGCCTGCCATTCTATGTTGAAAGCTATAACAAACAATTGCATTACTTCTTGTGAATATGTACCTTGGTAATGTTGCTAAAAGTGTAGAAAAAAACCTGCTGAAATGGTAAAAGAACTTAACAATAGTAGGCAATGATTGGCTTCCCCATCCAGTCCGTAGTTCCACCACCCAATGTGAGTCCTTGAAGCAAACTCTACCATGGATAACCAATTTATTTGAGCATGAGCTTTCGTGAGCTGTGGCTCACGAAAGCTCATGCTCAAATAAATTGGTTAGTCTCTAAGGTGCCACAAGTACTCCTTTCCTTTTTGCGAATACAGACTAACACGGCTGTTCCTCTGAAATCTACCATGGATGACTCAGGATGTCCTGATTAGCTCATTATTTCTGTTTAGGCAACTTGAGGCTGGCATCCCAAAAATCCATAGGTCCATATCATGCCATCTGCTTTTAAACCTGTGATTCAAAACAAAAGCCTGCAGCTGCCTTTAAAATGTCACTCAATTTACTAGAAAACTACAACTCTGGCAAAGCTGGTCTGCCCATGATTAAGTTATATACTCATTACAAAACTCACCCCAGAGATGGCACCCTTGTGACAATGCCAGTCTTGGAGGCTAAGGATAATCAACAAACACTCATCACTGGTAATCTATGAAAAATAGGGTTGTGGCACATTACTGCCACTGCCTGTGCTGTATGTGTTAAAAGTGGAAACAGAAAGGACCTCAGTTTCTTGTCCTTTTGGAACGAAACCTTTCATGGGCACTATATTTACTTTTAAAAACAAATTATTCATCTCATATAGCAGAATTTATGCAACATGAAGCTCCCTCTTGTGAAATTGGTGATTTTTGGCACCAACACCTTCAATTCTAAAATTATACTCTAAAGGAAAACCCTTCATAATTAAAGATGTAAATGTACACAAAGGGTCCAGTTCAGTCCTCAAATACATCTGTGTAACTCTCACTGAAGTCAATAATCAAATCTTGAGAGTTTGCTGTTAGCATTAAGGAGACCAGGATTTGGCACACAGAGAATTATATGTGACTCGCTGATGGCAGAATATGGTCCAAACATTATAACAACTACAATGCAAGGTAACAGGTAAATAAGAATTCTATATTGGATGTACATCTTTCATCAGTCTTTTAAATTATTGAATTATTATGTTACTAAATACAGAGAGAAAGAAAATAGTGGTGTGTTAGGTGATTGTATCTAAGTTTAGACCATATTCCAACTAAAACCAAAGAAATTAAATGAAAAAACCTATATGATTTTAATTAAACTGGTGTAATTTGGGTGTGGCTCTACTGATTTTAAGGTAGCTACTCCAGAGTTACGCTGGAGTACCTGAGATCTGAATATCATCTTTTGCCTTTTCTCTTCTTCTTACCATGACATTTTTATGCTGCGCACCACAGCTAGACCAGCTTATGACATCCTTTGTATCACACAATACCCTCTTTCTTTGAGTTCTCTTTTGCTTAGCTTTCTTTACTACTCTCCTTCCAAATGTTGTCAAGGCCTATCCATGAGCTGAGTTATTTTATGGTTATTATATTGGTCTGAATGAGGTTTCTTATATTTCATAAAGTCTACCAAGGGATCTTTTGGAAGGCAAACTAGCAAGTAGAAATCAAAACCATTTGTGATGAATCAAGCATTTCCCCTTTGTATGTTGATTTGTCTCTTTTCTATCATTTTGTTGTTGCAGATTATGACATTAATTTTTCCATTTAGTACTTTGAAGGGGTGTGCATACAATTTGTGCCAGACCACTCTTACAGTTTTATTGCTAAAGTTTAAATCATGTTTTGTTTTGTTTTAAGGGAGCTGGGGTTGGACTTTCCACCCAGTCCTTTCGGACAGGGGCAGGCAAACTTTTTGGCTTGAGGGCTGCATCGGGTTTCTGAAATTGTATGGAGGGCCGGTAAGGGGAGGCTGTGCCCCCGGGGACCCCTGCCGCATCCACCTCCCCCCCCTGCTCTCAGTCCCCTGACCGCCCCCGGACCCTCTGCCCCT